CTTTTACTTAGGATAAATAATGTATGCAGTGTACATGCTAACTAAGGCATCAGCCAAGGCATGAGAAGCCAATAAGTAGTGGCGGGGCAGGGCAAGCTAGAATTTTTACTACCAGTTCATCCAAACCAGCCCATACTGGCTGAATCCCACCACGGATGCTAAGGATGCGGCAGGCCAGGCTGACCCTATATCGTTTATTCATTTATCTGTGTAATTTTGATTCTGCTTCAGCTCATTAAGATTCTCTGCTGGTGTTTCTCAACTTTAAGATGTGTGGACTTCCATTCCCAGAATTCCCCAGCCAACATGTTAGGGAATTCTGGGAGTTGAACACACATTTTTAACTGGTTGGGGGTGACGAATACTGCAATAAGCAGTCTAAGTTATTTTATAGTGTAACATAATAAATATACTATAAAACTTCCAGAATAAACTCTGTTAAATCATAGGTGCAAACTTCCAGAGATTACACCTTTCTTTCTACAATAATATGATATCTACATAAAGTTCAGGTGTTAACATTTTGAAAATAGTATGGGATATAAAAATGTTAGAAATATTCTATTCTTTCTCCCTGTATCCATATTCCATCTTTTCCAAGAAGCATGTTACAGGTAGTCCTCAGCTTATAATCATTTAGTGACCATTCAAAGTTTTAATGGTACTGAAAAAAATGACCTTTGACCATTTTCCACATTTACAACCGTTGCAGCATCCCCATGATTATGTCATCAAATTTGGATGCTTGGCAACTGGATCACATTTATGACGGTTGCACTGTTCCAGTGTCATGTGATCACCTTTTCTGACCTTCTGACAAGCAAAGTCAGATTCACTTATCAATTGTGTTACTAACTTAATAACTGCAGTGATTCACTTAACAAGAAAATGAGGCAAAACTCACTTAACCGTCTCTCTTAGCAACAAAATATTGGGCTCAATAGACTTCCGGTTTGAAGGGCTTCGGCGACAGACAGAAATCCGTGATCGTGCGTGGTTTCTGTCTGGGCTCACCGCTGGAGCACCCCGAGCCAGCTGGTTTCGGGGCTAAGCCACCCCGTAGAGGTGGTGAAGAGGGGGGAGACTGCCAGCAGGGTTGAGGAGAGCCGCATTTCTTACTCCCTTTCCTGAAGGCGGTTGCAGCGGTGGTCAGAAATGGCCACCACAAAGGAGAACTTGACCGGAAAAGAATGTGCAGGAGGAAGATATGAAGTGAAAGTTTTGGCTGACCGGGTTAAATTGTAAAAGCAACAACTAAAGTACCCTGGAATTTAAACTTACAAAAAAGACTCCCAAAGAAGAGTCGGAAGCAGCGAAGGAAAGTGAAAAGGGAAAGGTTTGGCTTTTTTTTTCTTCTCTCTCCTTCCCTATACTGACAACTAAGAGACTTAAATAAGAAATTGGAAAAATCCGCTTTGACATCAATAGGCAATTAAGCTGAAAATAAAACAAAATGCCAAAGGGATAATAAAGATTTCTGGACATTAAAAATTTTCTTTTTCATAAGCAGGAAGGGAGAGAAAAAGAATAAGGGCAGGATCTGGAAGAGGGAGGAGACTGCCTGGAATTAAAAAGAATCTACAGTAAAACTTCAACAAGACTTCTAAAAGATACATTTTAACTGAAACTTTGCAACTAAATAGTAACCCCAGGAAGAGAAAGTGAAAAAAAAGAGCAAAAAAGAAACAGATTGCATGTATTTGGATTATTTGGTGATCTTTGGATTCTTGGTTATTATATTTGAATGACTAAAATCAATCGGGTGGTTGTTTAAAAAATTATACAATGGCACCACTTCTGGATGAATTGAAAATGATGTGGGGAAGAAAAAGGAAAGGGGGGAAAGAGAATGGAGAATTTAAGACTTAAAAAAACAACCAAAGAAAAGAAAAATAATTCAAAAAATAAGTATAATACTGGAAAGCAACAGAAAAGGGGAATACAGAAGAGAGAAATAGAGGTAGAGAGACAAGGGGATAAAAAGGGGAGAGAGAAGAAGAGAGGGAAGAAGGAAAGGAAAAGAAGTTACAAAGGGCCGGAGCAAGATATAGAGAAACAGGACCTATTTAGAGATAATGGGTGAAAATCTAACTGAAAAAGGGATTCTGTAAAGGTACATAAGATTGTATTGTTATATTAGTAATAGAAATAACTTTAGAAAATTGGAAACAATGTATGATTAAAATGAGGGATAAAATAGTGTAATTTAGTGAAATGTTTGTTAATAAAATAAGTGAAATAAACTAAATGAAAAAATTGAATTAGGAAGGAACGGGAACATTTTAATTAGTTAATGTTTTATAAAATATAAGTGAAGAGCGGGGAGGAATTAACTATGGAAAGCTTATAATTGTTCCCATAGAAGTATATTTAATTGAAAAGTAATGTTAAAGATGTTAAGACTTTAATGAATATTAATATTAATGATAGAATTGAATTGGAATGGAATGTTGTTTTAATTATATACATTTATAATTTTTTCTTTTTTTAAGAATACAGTGTGTATTTTAAGAATGTACCAAGCAGAATCCGAATGAAAGTTATGTATTATATTGAACGTTACAACTTTAGAGAAAAGATATAAAGGCGTCATACTCCAATCAGTAACTACAGGAGAAATTTTGTTTAATGAGAAAAGATAATAGATAATTGAAACAGACAAAAAATATAAATACAATGATTTGAATTGAGATAATTAAAATAAAATTGAGAAAATTAAAAGAGGGGAGAAGCTATGCAGAAAATGTAAAATAGTAATAAGATATGGAATAGAATATAAAAATGAGCATGAACCTGAATTTGTGTCTGTACGAAGAAATGTAACCCGGAATTACGCTACTTTCAAAAAAGATGTTTTATTTGTATTTTTTTTTCTCTTTGTGAAAACTCAAACAAAATTTACAAAAAAAAAAAAAAAATTGGGCTCAATTGTGATCGTAAGTCGAGGACTATCTCTACATTCCTTAGCTAATCAGCATGCTTGCCTCTTACTGAGAATTATTTTCCTAGATTAGTTTGTACTTCTGCAAACCAGTGAATTGATACTCCCTTTGACTTGTTAAATTATTCAGATTATATCAGACAATTCATCCTCCATTCAAGATCAAATTCATGCTAACTAGGGAGGAATGTTGTCTTATTTGGGGGAAATCCTTCAATTTCTCAATGCTGTCTACAGGATTATGGGTTTTTGGGACCTTCCCTCCATGCCACCATAATCTCATCTAACCCTGCTTATCTTAGTGATAGAAGAGAATATTTGTAGCTCAGGGTTGAACTATGGGTGCTAACACTGCTGATGTTTCCATTCCAAGTGTGGTATTACCAGTGGTGGGATTTAATTTTTTTTACTACCGGTTCTGTGGGGTTGGTGGGCGTGGCAGGAGAAGGATACTGCAAAATCCCCATTCCCTCCCCACTCCTGGGGGAAGGTTACTGCAAAATGCCATTCCCTCCCCATCCCACTAACCTGCTTTCCAGCTCCGTTCTCCAGGGCAACAAAAGAAGACCCAGCCGATCAGCTGGGACTCAATGGGACGCAGAGAATAGATGGGGGCCAGTCAGAGGTGGGATTTGCTGGTTCTCCGAACTACTCAAAATTTCCGCTACCGTTCTCCAGAACTGGTCAGAACCTGCTGAAGACCACCTCTGGGTCTTACCAAGGCACTAGCATTTCACATGAACTTGAGAAGCTGTGGGACAGAAGAGAACAGAGGAAATCGGGTTTTTTCTTCCTTCCGACAGGTAGAAGATAAAATTGGAGGTGGAAAGGAGAGCACAGAAAATCACTGTGGGATTGGAGAATCAATCCCAAAGACTACCCTACTTCTCTTTTCTCCAGGCTCTCAAGGCAGATAGGGTGTCTCCTGCTTGACCAAGAGGTTGGACTAGAAGACCTCCAATGTCCCTTCCAGCCCTATGACTCTATGTTCTACAGTTAGTCCTCGACTTATGACTACAATTGAGCCCAACATTTCTGTTGCTAAGCAAGACAGTTAAGTGACTTTGGTGACGTTTTACCATCTTTCTCACCACAGTTGTTAAGTGAACCACTGCAGTTAAGTTAGTCACATGGTCGTTAAGTGAATCCAGCTTCCCACGTTGACTTTCTTGGTCAGAAGGTCGCAAAAAGGGGATTGTGAGACCCCGGGACACTGCAATCCATTGTCCTGAGTCAGCTGCCAAGTGTCCGAATTTTGATCACCATGCTGCAATGCTCATAAGTGTGAAACACGACTGTAATTTATTTATTTTTAGTGCCGCTCTTAACGTTGGTCAGGTATTCTATTTTCTTACCAAGACAAGAGTTGAGGGTTTGAAATTCTGCAACTTGGTTGTTGTCTGGAACAGCAGCATTTTAAGTGTCTAGATTCTCAGTCATCCAGGTCACAGTTGTCCCAAAAGTCCTTTTTTCCCTTTTCTTTCAAGAGGCAACTGGACTTTCTTGGGTTTTTTTTTTCTTTAAAGAGGCTTCACTTCTCATCCAAGAAGCTTCTTCGGCTCTGAAGAATCTAGTCAGAGCTGAAGAAGCTTCTCAGATGAGAAGTGAAACGTCTCCGAAGAAAAACCAGAAAGTCCAGTTGCCTCTGGGGGGGGGGGACACCACTTTTGGGACAAGCAGCATTTAAGCAGGCAGGGTGGAAGAAGAGCCCTAAAGAGAAAATCCCTGGCATCCTGTTCAACCGGACGGCCGCCGCCATAATCTCAATCCCCTTCACCCTTTATTTTCATTATTTATTTTTTTCCCCCGCCCCCACTTTTTTCTCTTTGGAGAAAACTAGAAGTTTCCAAGCAGGCCTAGGAGTTTTGGAATGCCAACCACCTCCTGCCATTGGCTGCTCAGCCTTGGCAGAGGCTGATGGGAGCTGAAGTCCGAAACATCTGGAGGGCACCTAGGTTAGGGGGCTTTAGCGGCCTCGCGGGAAGGTAATAACGCAGGCGAGCGCAGCAGCCCAGCCAGTGGAACCCACCGGACTTCTCCGGTCCTTCTCTCGGCAGCCTCCCGGGCTCCGCCCTGCGCTTTTTCCTCTCGCCTGCCGCCGCCGCCGCGTCCCGGAGAGAAAAAAACGTCCGAGGCAAAAGCGGCTTCGACAAGCCCGACGCGCGTCCGGCCTGCGGAACGGAGCCTTCTCGAGCGCTAGGACCTGGCCACGGCGCCTCAGGGGCGAGGTGCCATTGCCGCTGCTGCCGCCGCCACTGCCGCTTCCTCCGAGCCCCGCGTGGGCGGGTGGGCGGCTCGAATTACGTCGCCGAGCCGAGCCCCCTCCGCTCCGCAGACCCTTTTCGCCGCGTCCGAGGAAAGGGAAGCAGCTTCGAGCTTCGTTTTTATCGGGACGGCTCCCTCCTCAGCTACCCCGGGGGATTTTTTTTTTCCTCTCCGCTTCGCCGCGGCGGATACATGGGCCACCATTAGGACCCAGAGACGTTTGCTATGATTTGGGCAGCCGTAGGTAAAAAAATAAAAATTAAAATAATAATAATTAAGAATTATTATTTTTTTGCTCCGGCATTCCGAGCATTCCGGCCTGGGAAGCGCGGTGCGGGTTTGCTTTCCTCCACACACCCCTCTCTCCGCCCGGGTACCCACCCCTCTCTCCTTTTCGCTTTGCGGGATGCCAACACCCCCCCTTCCACCTCAGGAAAACCCGCTTCAGCCTGTCAAAGCTGCACGCTTGCGCCCTTAGCCTCAAACGGCAACCTTCCCTACGGCTCCCTGCCTGCCTGCCTGCTTGCCTGCCTGCCTGCCTGCCTGCCTTCCTTTAAGCCTTCCCCCATTTTGGCCGGAGGGGTTGGGGTTGAGGGGTTGGGTGGGAAGACGGGTGGGCGAGATCCGGATGGATGGTTCCTACCAGAACCGGCTGGGAACGATGGGGCGGGCGAGGGGGTGGCTGGAAGGCTTGCTAAACGGAACTGGGGGCCAGGATGGATGGTTCCCACCAGAACCGGCTGGGAACGATGGGTGGGTGGGTGGATGGAAGGCTTGCTAAATGGAACTGGGCTCCCAGTTCGCTCTATCACCCCCTTGGGAGATTTGGAGGGGGTGGGTGGGTTGTTGCTAAATGGAACTGGCTGGGATCCCGGTTCTCTTTCCCCTCCCCTGGGAAATTGGGGGGGGGGGGGGAAAGAGATGATAAGAGTGCCTTGCTCCAATTTTGGAAGGCTGGAAAGAAGCCCCAGGGTTGCGGTTGCAGAGATGAAAGGGTGTTTGTTGGGTGGGTGGGAGGTCCCATCTTCCACGCTTGGTTTAGGATTTCCCACCCCATCTAGCCTCCTGATGGTAGCCCTGTCCTCGCAGCCCAATTGATCTGTTGATCCCAGGATCTATTCTAGCAAAGGGTAGAAGCGGTCCTCTCCCCCACACCCCAAATTATCCGCTGGCCCGGAGAAGAGCGAGCAGGTTCCCTTGCCTTCAAGCGAACTTCTGATGGTAGCCTTGAACTTACGACCCGCAGTCGAGCCCAGATTTTGGGGTTGTTTGGTGAAACATTGGTTAAGAGGGGTTTGCCCCGTTTTACGACAGTTCTTGCTGTGGTCGTTAAATGAATCACACCGGTTGCCAAGCATCTGAATGTTGATGGCACGACCATGGGGATGCTGCAAAGGTCATAATTGTGAAAAAGATCCATAAGTCACATTTTTCAGTGCCATTTGTAACTTTGAACAGTCACTCAGTGAACTGTTATAAGTTGAGGACTAGCTGTATTTGGGCTTTTGTGGATCCCTCCAAGGACCATGAAAGAAGAGCTGAGCAAAGAAACAGCTTCGGAAGAGTATTTCAAAATGAAATAATTGTACAGTATTACGAAAAGGCTTGCCCCTAGGAGCAATGTAGAGGTCACATGCTGGCCAAATAAAGAAACGGGAACGATGGAGAAGGTTGCTACCATCCAACGGTCCGAAGAAGGCCAGTGTTGCAATAAAAAATAAAAGCAATACCTGACCCCCTTAATTTTGTGGTGCATTTTCAGCACACTGATGGAAAAAGGGTTGGCAAGTAAGGAGAGAAAGGTTGGGTGTAACCCCAATACTATGGTCCAGGAGTTTGTTTTACAGAAAGTGATTGTGTGTGCATGTTAGGGTGTTAGGTGTGTGTTAGGTTGTGTGTGTGTATTAATTAGGCATTATTTTCTAAATGTGTATAATTCAGCTTTGTTCAGGTATTTTCCCACGTCATTGTAGTTGTGCTTTTAAAGTTGTAGCAACGTTTCGGCAGAATCTCATTTGCCATGATCAGGCTTAATAGTAATACTCCGAGTAATACTTAAGTAATACTCCGAGAAGCACAAAGCCGAAGACACAAGCCTGAAGATGATGAATGAGACTTCATCAGTACTTCCAATTTTACGTGGGAGAAAACCCGAATAACCAAAGATCCACATATACATACATACATACATACATACATACATACATACATACATACAAACATACATACATACATACATACATACATACATACATACATACATATGCTTATGTGTGTATGTGTGTATATGTACTGTATATATCTCTGTCTGTCTGTCTGTCTCTCTATGTCTATCTATCTATTTATCTATCTAAAATAACAATTCAGGGATAGATTGCTCTCCAATGACCAAATTTGCAGGAAATAATCAGAAGGAAATTAGTAATATCTTTGTAGATTAACACACTGTGTTTTATTAAAAGCTATAATCTTTTGTGAGCTACAATGAATGACTATCTGAGACACTAACATGGCATTCTCCTGCAACTTTAAAGCATGCTGCTGTAGGTAAATCCTGCTAAGGTAAATCTGAATTTAGTGGTATTTAACCCTTTTAAACTATGCATACAATTCTAGCCCTGGTTTCACTTTTTTCTAAAGCTTGTGCTATCTGGTGGTTTTCAAAAGTGTATAAGGTCATGATGGAGGTCATGATGGAGTAAAAATGTAGCTTCATGTTTATTTGGAGAAGCTCCTAGTACTTGATTAGATTTATGATATGCAGGTGGACATCCGAAAGGGTTTTTATCCCCAATGTTATGTTTGTCATGCTGGAAATGTCTTATGCTGCTCTTAAAGGATTTTCCCACCTACCTACCTTAGCCATGAAAGCCAGCTGTGTGACCTTGGGCCAGTCACATTCAGCCCAACTTGTATCACAGGGTTGTTCTTGTGGAGAAAATAGGAGGAGGAAGGCATATTAGATATATTTGCCCGTTGAATTGTTTATAAAAATAATAAAGTTGGAATATAAAACAAACATTCAGATAATGATTATGGCTTCTTCTGAAAGCTGCTGAACAGGAAAAGAAAAATATGTGTACGAAATGTAATTTCTGAAGTGTGCCACATATTTGCCAGGTGCTCTCTCTTGAAAATGATGAAGGCTAAAGATCCTTAGCTAATGAACAGAGAATTCAGTTAGTCCTTGCAAGGGGGTTTCCTTCTAAATGTTTATCCCATACACTCCGAAAGCTCATCTTTGGGATTAGAACAAAGTCTTCATTCTAATTATATAGTTGCAGTTTGAATCTAAAGTGATTTTTTTTTCCTGAAGGCATTTAGGGAGAGCTTCACAGAGCCAGATGCAAGTGCTAGTGGCAAATACTATTTTGTTATTATATTTTGTTTTTCTTGAGTAGGAGGTTTTTTTAAATACTCTGCTTCAGGTTTGTCCAGTTTTTATATCCTATCCAACTGATTTTCAGAGCAAAGTCTTACTGAGTAATTTCAGGGTGGCTTCCAACTAAGGATTTGCACATTTTGGATTTTTTTAAAAAATCTCTGAGATTTTCAAGAAGTGGGATCATGATAGGAAAAAATAGCTTTTTAGATAGTTCTTGTGCGACTTCATTCAATTGTCTCTTGAATGTAATCCTATCAAGATGAAACTGATGATTGAACAAAGAGCTTGTTTTGAGCCAATTTTAAGTGATTTATATTATTTTCTCCGCCTTTGCTTATATGGGCTTATGTATGGACAAAATGAAATACAAAATACAGTAGAATTTAGTAACCAAGGTTTTTCTCTCTTGAAAAACAGGGTTTTACATATTCTTCCAAATGTATTTGGCCAATAAAGTATAGATGAGCTTAATTTATTGTCAAAAGATGATGGGAAAAAACTAGCTGGTGCAAAGAACCAAGATCATTTGTTGAGTTTAAGCACAGAAGATCTATTACCACAGCCTATACACAAAAATCTAATCAACCATGTAGGTCAGCACTAAATTGGTGTAGATAAAAGTCAGCAGAATTCAAGGGGGCTGGACTTGGATCTCTTGTGGGAATGCAAAGGCTCTAAATTGATGACATATTTAACTCCAGCTTCCAGCTCTGCCTGCTCTTCTTCCCCAGTTACCACTTTTTAAAATTCTCTTCTGTACTCTTTTATAGTATGTATGCATGTATGTATGTTGAAAGAAGTCAGGGAAGCTGCAGACCGAACCGGTAGAATACCACCACTGACAGGGAATCTTGGACTTACAGTCATTCATTCAATGACTCTTTGAAATTGGGCCTTATGACCCATGTCTCAAATTACATGCCACTGCAGCACTCCCGTGGTCACTTGACTGTGATCCGGGCATATGGAAACCCATTTGTACTTATGACCAGTTGCCAAGTGTCCTGAGATCATATGATCACCATTTGTCTTCCCTGCCTGCTTACCCAGAAAGTCAGTGGGGAAGACAGCAGGGAATGTTGCAAGTTGCTGCCATCTGCAAAGAGGACTTTCATTTAGTCTCTGGAGGCTGGCTGAGAAAGGCCTATGTTGAAATCCAAGCAGGATTTTCAGCCATGGAGGATTTTCAGCTCTGCAGCAGAGAGATTTGTCCGCCGCACGCCCCAAATCATGCACAGCCTGCAATAGGCCTCCTGGGGCTTCCTTCACCCCTCTGAGTCACCCTATGCTCCCTACCAGTGATTCTGTCCACTAAACGACTGCAACTGGAAGTGCCAGAATTGTGGTTGTTGAGGAGGAAACAGTCCCGTGACTTCTCATTTAACAACTAGTTTGCTTCAATGACCAAGATTCCAGTCCCCATTGTGGTTACAGCTGTATATAGACATTTATACTTGTTAAGAATGTGCAGTCGTGCTTTATGGGGACATGTACATAGCAGTTGCCTGAAACTGTTTAGTTGTATCTTTTCCCAAAGAACTGTGTTTTTAGCAGTTCATTTGACTTATAGTTTAGCACATTGTTCTTCAAACTTGACAACTTTAAGATAGTGCAGGATCCGTGGGGTCAACCAGCTGCCACGATCATAAGCATGGAAAACAGGCATAAATCACTTTTTTTCAGAATTGAAACTTTGAATGGTCAGTAAACAAGTGGTTCTAAGTTGGAGACTACCTGTATGTACTATGGTATAGTCCACTCTGCAGGCTGAATTAAATTGTTGTTGTTTAGTTGGTAAATTGTGTCTGACTCTTTGTGACTTCACGGCCCATTGCACAGCAGGTCCCACTGTCCACAAC